TTCGCACTCATCCTTTGGTCAACTTCACTTGAAGGAAAATATTTAGTTTAGTCAACTTAAAAATGACAATACAACAAGCTCATTTGGGAAAAAATTGAAAAGGGGTCATCACACTAATTAATAACCTGATCCTTGTTAAGTTCACTGAGAGAGGCAGGTGGGCCAGAAGACCCAAAAAATTCGAAGACAGTGCTCGCGGCTCGCGAGTGAAACGGAGGAATAAAAACCAATTAAAACACATTATGTTTTATTGGATGTCTTTAAATCTTAGGTTTTAGTGGAGTGATCCAGTTGAGAGTAGACGTGTAAAGAATTTTTGTCCATTTTCACCTAAATTTTAAAAAAGAAAATGCTGCAATATTTAAAGCGAATTAACGCTGACGTAAAATAAATGTGTAATATGGTGTATGGATTTGTTGTTGACAAACAAATGTTGTCTAAGACCCAACTTTGAAGGGGGTGAGAGTAGATCTCCACCGTATCAGTGTTTGTGTAAGTATGGCCTCGTATCCGGAGATAAACAGATAAACAGCTTTTACACGTCTGGCCTGGTTCTAGAAAATTCCCATGTAGAAGGTATTCTTGTATTCATCCTTCACTTACGTACTTAATACAGGTCCCTGAGCATAATTGCATAAATCTAAATGTTAGAGATTTCGGATAAACCAAATCTTAATCTTCTAAAATTTTAATTGTACCGGTAAAGATAATCAAATAGATATTAAATGATAAATTATTAAATGATTTTTACGCTTTCCCACATCACCTTTGCTATTTAATTGAAAAGAAATGTATTTCGCTCTTCGCACATACCTAAAACCCTGTGACAGCGGGTTTGCGACCGCTTGGAGACCGTTACCTACACTCACCCCTTCAAAGTTGGGGCTTAGACAATATTTGATTGTCAACATCAAATCCATACATTATACTGCAGCCTTTTCTGTTACATCAGCGTTAATTAGCCTTGAATATTGCAGCAATTTCTTTATATAAATATATTGAAGAATGGGCCAAAATTTGTTCTATAGGCGGTGGCAGCCACCGATAAAACAGGGGCTTAAGAATGAACGTACTGTGACAGTATTCAAACACTCTTTGAAAATAAGTGATCAGTTGGGGGTGGCCTTTAGCGTATTGCACTAATATATGAGAAAAATTGCCTATACGCAAGGGGTTCGCTAGACATACGTCGTATCAGTCGCATACGTCTCGAGTACGCAGGTAAAAAATAAATAAATAAATAAATAAATAAAATAAATAAAAGTAAATCGTTGGTGTACGTTCGCATACGCGGAGGGTGATAAAATGTGTTGAGTATATTAAAAAACACACTGCTTACATGTTCATTTTCATCCGCTAGAAAAAGGTGGTTTCATTTGCACAAAATTATGCGTATGATCAATTTCACATGCGATACATATGCGTACCTCTGTACGCTAGATGTGACAGAGCTTTTACGATGTGTACCACTACGAAGGGGGGTATGTGATTCTGCTTCAAGAAGTTCACATGGAAACGCTTAGAATGAGTTTTATAGTGAAAACTCTCCTCAGCATCTAGTAGTTCTATACTGGAAGCGGTCCCCTCTGTCACATGTACATCAGTATACCGCTGTCGATGTTAGCATTCTCTAAGCGACATGCTAATAATAAGGGCTAGCTTTCAATAAAATATGAAACTCTGGGACTTTTTTATCGTGTCATTAAAATCATATTAAGCCCGGGAAATGAGAAAGAAACTCTGAGAGTTTTTATCGTATCATTAAAATCATATTAAGCCCAAAAAAGGAGTAAGAATTGCACGCTGTTGGTAAATACATCCAGAGGGCAATTTCTAAAAGAAATGAGCATCTGCCACACTGAAGTAGCCTCTTCCTGCTAATAGATATTATATGTACCATAAGCATGGCACATTATATACATTTTAGATAGATAGATCGATAGATATAGATATAGTTATAGATATAGATATAACAGTTAAATTATTGTCCTGCCAGTGTGTTAATCTATTGATAATTGTAATAAATATTCTAAATACTGTATGAGTAGTAATCCATAGTTATGTTTATTTATTTATTTATTTATTTATTTATTAACTTATTATTATTGAGCCACGTCCCCCTTTCTTTAGGAGACGTTACGTGTACGTGTAGTTCTTTTCTTTAGGTTTTACTCACCCCAGTGGCAACATCCAAAATTCTTGCGTTTCAATTGTTCCTCCGTCCCTGGTGACATCTCTTCGTGTTGGAATTCCTCAAAATAAGGTGACTTTCTGTCTCCGGCACCGTCCCCATTGCTGGCACTAGCATCTCCCATTATTAATCTCAGTCTGCCGCTTCTGTATGGGTTTGATAAAGACCCCTGTCTAAAGAAACGCCTGCGCCGTGACACAAATTTAAAATGAAAATAAACTTGACTCTAAAAGTACTTTGTCAGGATTTTATGTAAGTTCACGTGGGCTTTTTCTCGAGGTTTTGTAAGTCAAATTGCTCAAAGGCTCGGGCAGACTATGATGTGTGCTCATTCTCCGGTCTCAAAGGCTCGCGCAGACTGTTAGATATTTGCTCATTTTCATGTCCTGTCTGTCTAAAATCTCATTCTCAATAAAAGCGTCTGTTAGTTATCTTTTTTTTTTTTTCTTGCGCCAGCCGAGAAAAGTCACTGAAATGGAGTAAAACGCCCGGCTCTCAGTTTCGCCAGATAGTAGATTTCGTAGATCAGCACGCAACTGAAAGTGTTCGCCGGTCTTCAACAAAAATAAAGCAAAAGCTTTACTTGACCTGAGTCAGTTCAGTAAAACTTGTTTGGTGGGTGTTAAGCACAATAGATGTGCCCCATTCAATAGAATAATCGCAGCAGTTATAGAGTGAAGGTGAGTGCAGGTTGACCTCACACACACACACACATGGGATGTTAAGCGGGAAACGGAGGCAGACGGTGTAGTTTCTTTTTATGCTCCGAGTTTAAATATGAAAGATTTAGGTCCGTTGTAATCATGATGGATATTTTTGATGACATAACAAAGGAGCACTATACAATATTATTATTATTATTATTATTATTATTATTATTATTATTATTATTATGTTTACTGAGTACTAAAGCGTTGGTTGAGGGCTGCGCAAGGGACCCCGCTCTCAGCCAGCGAGATCTCGATTGATTACGGTTATTTGCGAGACTGCGGACTGTCACGTATGACGTCGATTGACACTACAACAGTTTCATTTTATTTAGAACGCTCCCACTCTGGTTCACGCTGCTCGAAGACGGGAGGGGTCGAGATAAGTTTGATAAGTCGTTGTCACTGTTTGCCTTGGTTAGCATGTTCTACTTTTACTTCGATAAGCTGTAACCTTTCCCAGTTCCTAATCAAAATGTGCCTGCAATCTTGGGTGAATAAAACGTTTTATTTGTCCAATTTGAAATCAGAAGATACGGTATGCAGTGTTTAGCATACACAGTATCACACGCGCACACACACATTTTACACAGTTTAACTGACTAAAACCAATTTTATATCCAAACACGGTGTAATTTTATCTCATTTCCAAACAGTAATGCTTTCTTTCTTTAGATGCATAAATAAATAAAACTTAACAACGAACGACCAAATGAATGAAGCATTATTAATGTACAAACGAATGATTTGAAGGTCTGCCGAATTTTAGAATCGTTCATTCATTCATCCATTCATTTTAATTTTCCTTTTAAAAAGGAAAACGTTTGCGTTTTTCCGCCAAAGTATAGCAGTCCTGTATATGAAGATTTAAAATATTCGGAAATCTTATTTTTTGAAGCATGGAAAAATTACAATTTCCACGGCCAAAACCAACCGAAATGGAAAGACCACCATATAGGGACCAGCAAACAGACACTACCCAATCTTGAGGATTCAGCCGCAAGCAGTCGCACATTTTTTTTTTTTTTTTTTTTTTTTATCGAGGACAACTCCTTTAATCGTACTGCAAATTAGTGGTTACGCTGATATAAGAAATCCAACACCCGTACGACAACAATCATGATAATAAACCCTGCCGAGAATAGTTCAGATTCAACATTTAGCCTCTCTGTTTCAATTCCATAAAACCCCGGTGCAAGTGACTATCATAACCCGAAACATCAACTATAATTGAGTGCGAGCACTAACATTTCAGCAAAGCACTGCCTGCTCGCTCGCTTGCGCATACATTTAAGCACGTACAAAACAACCCAAAAATAGACTATGAAGTCCCTGTCAGGTAAAAGTGGGTCTAAAATCTTATGCAAGCATTTAGGGAAAAAACTCGTGTAAGAACGGATTTTAAACATTAAAGTTTACGGAAGTTAGGAACTTTAAAACTATACTCTTCTTGATATATTAATTTATTTACCAATCAAAAAGGAATATACACGGCCTACAGGTATGACGTAGTCATATAGACGGCGATGTTAAGTAGACAATAACAATTAAGTGTAAATTGATATCTAATTAATAATTTTATTTCATAAGTTAAACATACCGATCAAGATCCATGTTGTATGAAAACATCTCGCAAAGATCTTATTTACTTTTTTGCCGGTGTGACAGGAATGGTTGTCCGCTGGACACCGCAGTCTGTTCCCCACTACTTTGTACGGGTGACATTCGTTCCATATACTAACCCCAATACTCTAACTAACCCTTATCATATGGGACCCCCAGTGACGTATTTAGAGGGGGGTCAGGACCACGGGG